TGCGACGCTATAAACGAAAGCGTACATCATAACATGTGGAGCTAGGTAGCTAGAAACGCTAACATGGCTTACCTTGGTCAAAACTGGTCTTCAATGGCATTAAAACGATAAAAAAACGATGCTGCAGTTAATCCATAGGTTCATCCAATGTATCTGTGCCCTCTTTGAAATTATTTCTGATAATCCATAAGCAATAAAACTGCTTTTTCGTTTCCAAATGCCAGAGCTAGAGATAGCTCCACTCTGCTGCACATTTACATGCGCGCAGCCCCCACCTTTTCTCTTCACAACGTGTGTGTTTGGGGGCCTCCCCCTTCGATTCTATTGGCTCTAACGGTCAGAAAGAGGTGTCAACCATCAAAATCGAGCAAGGGGGGCCAGAGATATGGAAAAAAAACCATTTTCACCCAAATCACCTCAGAGGTGGGGTGGTTTTGGCTAAACCTCTCTAAAAAGGTCAAATGTCACTTGTTTTGCATGAATCTTGATACAGGGTACTTATTATATGTTGTACTTTGGATTCCTAAAGCTTTTAGTCTACTAACCCATCATCCAAGGGTAGTTTTCACTATCTGTAAAAAATAATTTTTGGACGGACACTATAATTTACAGTTTTTTACTATGTAAAATCAGAATTTTCTTTAAAATAAAAAACATTTATATTGATTCTGACACTTCTACATCCAACTCACAGATGTAACCTTGCTTTGATAAAAGAAATTATTCATATAACCCTTTTAGAAGTTAAGTTGTAGTCATTTGTTTTGGGCATGTCATTTTCGAGCCTGAAACATGAAAAACAGGCTTGGTGCTTAACAGGTTAAGGGGAAATTATCATTTAAATGTGGCATCAGTTGAATCTTATGATACTTCCTGAAATAGTCGATGGTCTCTAGGTGGGAAATTGGCATTAGATATATTTTCCACATATGACCCCAATGCTGGAAATGTTTTCTAATCATTTCAGGGAGAGATTTAGGAGCAGAGATGAACTAAATAAAGATTCTAACTTGAGAACTTCCTGTTTCCTTTTTCCCAAAATAAGCAGGGAAGTATTGAAATATGACAAGGAAGAGGAGGCAAAGACTGATTTAGGTGTTGTTTGAATGTCCGCAGCTGAGTCTGCACATCATTGGGTTTGTGAGGAACTTGTGCAGGAGGGCTGATAACCAGACATGCACCCATGACCGTCCTGGGGATGAAAGATTGCTGTGTGTGTGTGTGTGTGTGTGTGTGTGTGTGTGTGTGTGTGTGTGTGTGTGTGTGTGTGTGTGTGTGTGTGTGTGTGTGTGTGTGTGTGTGTGTGTGTGTGTGTGTGTGTGTGTGTGTGTGTGTGTGTGTGTGTGTGTTTGTGAGTTCCTGCTTGCATGAGTGTGTTCGGGCTCTTTGGTAACTTAGGGGCAATATAGGGAGCTTGAGGGATATGGAGCGTTGCCCGGAGGACAGCACTGAGGAGGTGTTCGGGAAAGATAGAAGTAAAACCCGGGCCAAAAAAATCCATCAGGCTCAAGTTTTTGAAGGACAGTTTCCCAGCGAGAGTCTCCTCCTGTCAGGCCCTGGGATGGGTTTCTCAGCGGGAGAGAGCTCCTCCTCGTGAGCTCCTGGTTGAAGGTTAAAATGTGGGAAAAAATGGACAGGAGGAGAGAACAAGCTGTCGAGAGACAGTGATGGAGAGCTGGAAAGCTAACCTTTTCCAGCTCTTGTTTTATGTCTCCCTCTCCCTTCCTTCTCACGTTTATCACTTGATATGAGCCCTTAGCTGAGCACCCTTTCTCTCCTCTGAAGAGTTTGGCATAAACACTTCTCAGTTACATGAAAAGAGGAGAAACTGTAACATTTCACACCTCCCATGCTCCATCCCGATTCACTCAAACACACACACACACACAGATGCCTACACAGTCTTTGCCAAATGCGTGTGTGTGCACACATCCACACATCCCCACCTGATCGTCTTCTAAGGGAGTGAATAATTACTTTGCCAAAGGGCACAACTGTGATCCCTGGTTGGTATTTAAAGCCTTGTCACTGAATTTAAATCACCCCTCGTCTCCATGGCTTCCTTTAGTTAAGTGGAAATGTCCTTTTTTGGGGCTAATACAGAGATCACAGCCCTGATGTCTTCTTCCTGGCCTCCAGCTAATACTGCCACATTCCATGACACAGACGCCCAGCTTGAATTTCCACATCGGCACGGCGACGTGTGAAGCTATTTGCTGTCAGCCGCCACAATTCAAACTCCACTTAACCTATTATTGTGTTACAAGATGCAGCGAAGTGCAAAACCTTAATGTTTGATGTTCCATGCCTTGTTTTCTGTGTGTTAGAATGATTTAGAGATCATACTGTTTTTTCAAGCCGAGGTAGGGAGTTTCGAGTTGATGAAGGTGTGTGTGAAATTCTTCCCCTCTAATTAGTTTATTCAGTTATTCTTTCCTCTTCCCACCATGCTGTAGCCCTAGGCCATCTGTGCTTTCTTTTTGCATCAAGCTCTCCACTACCCTCCCGTTGTTTCCTCAACCCCTTCGCTGCACCATCATTTTCCAACCTCTCTTGCGGCCTGCGCTGAAGATGTGTGCCCTGCGTTGTGTGTCCAGTCTGTGGAAATACAGTGATAGGGGCTGCAGCGCTCTATCATAAGTAGAAGCCGCAGGGGTTGAGAGGCTGATCCTGTATTTGTCCTTGTCTGATGTAACTCCTCTCCCATGATGCTCTGTGGCAGAGACTGGGCCCACCTGCTTGTCCACTCTTCTCCGGGCTCCATGATTGGCGTGGTAGGGCAGAGAGACTATTAGGATGCTGAAGCATGAAACCACTTAAGGTGTGTTTGTGTTGTGTGCGTGTGTGTGTGTGTGTGTGTGTGTGTGTGTGTGTGTGTGTGTGTGTGTGTGTGTGTGTGTGTGTGTGTGTGTGTGTGTGTGTGTGTGTGTGTGTGTGTGTGTGTGTGTGTGTGTGTGTGTGTGTGTGTGTGTGTGTGTGTGCGTGCGTGCGTGTGTGTGTGTGTGTACATGTGTACATTTGCTCTTACACTTTTGTGCCTGTAGTAAGAGCGTGACCATGACCACCCCTACACATGATCCAGAATATCAAAGAACATCAAGTGTATTTGAATTCAGCGGGAGTGCAGCAAGGTACGCTATGCTAATAAATTGCATCTGGATGGAGATGGTATCCAGGGTAACAAAAGCCCTAATCAGCTTCTATAAGATCTGCAGCCACAGTTCCACTTGATGTGGAGACAGATCGACTGTTAATGGTGAACTAGGTTTTTGTATATATATATATATGAATTCATCTTTTTTTAAATTGAACATATGTATAACTCACCGCATTATGCTTTAAGTTTCACATAATATCTATAAATGCCCAGAATTCATTCTTCTCCAGGTGAAAAAGCCTTTGAAACCACATTTACACTATAATGAGACACAAAATCTCTGAAACCCAGACTAATGACATTTTCAGATGGGTTAACAGGCTAACCCAACACACCGTTTCTATATTAAGAGATTTGCAGATACATTAGTAATTTATATGAAGAAATAATTTGCAAAAATAGATTAAAAACAGAATTATGCAAAGAAGATTATCCTTATTGCAGGGGTTGCAGGCTGACAGAGAAACCTGTATCATATTAGTTACAGATGACTGATGAAATCTGATTTGTAATAATACTTCAGTATCACCCGGGTTCTGTATATCATCACTCTGGTATACCAGCTTAATCCTCGTTGATGATTTCAGAGTGTGAAGAAATGAGAGTGCTGTTGAGCTTCGACTTTGTCACCACTGTTAGGGAGGGGATGATGCTGCCGTGTGCAATATTACACTTTGTGGTGTAACATGTCATGAAGGAAAATGACACATAATTATTATGGTACAGGATAAAATTGCAAACCTGATGGCCTTGTTATTCAAAACAAAGTGCTAACAAGGAGTCAGCGCCATCCCTTCTGACTTCTCTCTCACTCTCCTTGTCTCTCGTTACATATTTAGTCTAGTTTTCCCAGACACACGTTTTCATACCTCAAGGTTATTTCTCTGAATGTCTATTTATCATTTAAAGCTTTGCACGCCTTCTCCCGCCTCCTCACGCCATGACTAGTTATTTTCTCAATTGACTATAGTCCAGCTTCCCATTACTCATGCTGAAATGCCCTTTCCTCTCTGAGAAGCTCACACTCCTGAATTTTTTTCTTTTACTGGACAACCCAAAGCCTCCGTACTACTTGTAAAACATTATGTCCATTATCAATGATTGTTGCCTGCAGTTTCCACCCTCTGTGTGCACGTGTTGCCGTATGCGTGACCACGTGCTTGTTGACCCATATGTTGCTCTCAGATTCTCACATTAACCTCAATCCTGCTTTCTTCCAAATTAGATTTCTATTCTTCTGTCTCCATGTTGACTTATTTGCTTCCCTTTCATCATCTCCGGCAAGGTTATCCTGAGGCAAGCAGCACTTTTATGGGAACAGGGGGGCGTAGAGGAGGGGTGGAGGGCTTGGCTTTGCCTCCAGCCATGCCTTAATCGATCTTGTTTTAAAGGATGTTGTGAGCTGAATTTTTCAACCCGTCCCCTCGTTAACAGTTTTCAAGATGTAATTAAGAAGAGAATGAATTTAATGTCAATTACATCTTAAAACGAGCAGGGAACGTAAAAATGCACAACAAAGAAGAGTGAGAGAAGTGGGGAGAAAAGGGAAAATATGGAGAAAAAAGGAGGCTAATTAGTGGATGGTGTTGTGTTCATGAATCATTCCAGTTGAAACATTTCCTTCCTCCCCCTTTCAACCCCATTTTCCTCTCTGCTCCTTGTTCTTCTTCTGTTTCTCACTCTGAATGTATATCTGCAACAGCCCGCGGCAAAAAAGAAATTATCACATATTGTTTTGCCATTGGCACACAGTATGGGTATGCAAATATGAGGGAAAAAAGAGACTTCAGCATTGTTGACATTCTCTTCCTACACATAAAGCACAACCAGATATAAGACTGAAGTGATTGAAGTACTTCTGTGTACTTTATTGATTTTTTGACTGTTGAAAAGCACAGTAAATGCCATCATATCATCCATACAGTATATCATCCACATGACATAGAGAAAGAAAACCATGAGGAACAAAAAAGATTAAACAGACAACCTCCACTGCATGACCCACATTTAAATACAACTTTATTCAGATCTGAGGACTCTTAGCTTTTATATATATATATATATTTATATGTATATTTATGTTTTCGAAAGGTCAGGTTTTGTTATGCTTTGCTGAGGGGACTGGTGTTGCAGTCTAAGGCCAAATATCCACATGTCTGTTGGCATTAGATGGGTCAACAGTAAGGCTAACACCGTCCATCCCACAGCAACATGATCGTCTCCTAAACTTAGTCCAGCAGCCTTCCTTAGTTCGCCCCAGAGAGGCGGAGAGGTTGGAGTCTCAGTGTATTGCTCTGAATCTGAGAGGACGAGTAAGGAACAGAGTGAGGGGCTTGCTCCCAGCATGTAGCCCAACATGTGTCCTTTTTTTCTTCACAAGTTCACTGCTGTGGGCTCATGTTGCCCAGCTTTGATTCCAACATGTGTGAGTATCCAACTTCTCTCCGGACGCCCTGCGGGAGGCGGGGAGAGGAGTATTGAGGTTACTGAGGCGTATCTGTGTCGGGCACTCCATTGGCATTCTCTCGAGGAGATTTCATGTCCTCACAATCCAGGGGCTTATGTATGCTTTGAACAGGGGAGAGGAAAATACCTAAACCAGCACATCTTAAGACTATGTGTGAACGCACAATTGTTTGATGGGATACAGATATAGAGAGGAATAGATAAATACAAAAGGAGGGAGGAATGTTCTCGCTGTTGATGTTCTGTTAGCTCGGCATTAAGCTCACAGGGATTAGCCAGCTCAGCTCAGCGCTGTGCTCAGGGGGCCGGGAGGAGCAGCAATGAGGAACTCCCCTCTGCAGGGTTCAACACCAGGGTAAGCAAGGTAGAGAGGGCATGGAGGCTGAGGGCAGTCAGCCGGGTCACACACAGGGAGACAACAGCGTGAACTCTGCAGGACATATGGCTGAGAAACATGTGGACAGGGGCAGAGAGATGGAGGATGAGGAAATGAATGAACAGAGCAAGAGGCAGTGGTTCATTCATGCTGGTTGATGTGCATTTTACAAGCCTTGTATCTCATCAGCAGACAGGACTTACATCTATATTGCATGTTCCGCTGGGACTCTTTATGTATGCTTTAAATATTAATGCTGCATTACTGTGATGTGGTCGGAATAAGAAGTAGTCCTTACAAGCTTTCTCCTGGTTGGCACTCTCAGTGGTGGTCCCCTTTTTAGGAAATTCCACTCACATTATTTATATTGAGACACATGTCAACATATATCGGTGTATATAGGCAACATTGTCGAATATATAATACGATCCTGTGCAACATAACTGCTTACTCAATTATATTTCGAGGGAAACATATGAGGTTGTGGGTTTCAACAAAAACAAAAACGCAACAAAACTGTGAGAAATGTAATCGTTAAGCTTAAAATATGTATGTTTGCTACTATCGTTAGAGAAGTAAAAATGTCAACCTTGACTTTAGATTTGATCCAGGACACAAAGAGCGTTCTCCTGGGTAAAAGTCTGGCGTTTGTCCGACCCATTTATCTCTCTCGACCTTGTTTTAAAGTGGACCTCAGCATAGTTTGAAGAGAAACATATTTGTGACACATCAAAAACAAGTGTAGTCGGAGAGAAAACAAGTTATCCTCGATACATATGGCAATGCAGCGTAATTTTTAGGTTGATATATGACAAATCTGTTTCAATAAAACAATCACACGCAAGAGGAGACAGAGGTTTGCTTTAGCCAGATGAACAGCATTTATCATTGCTGCGGGTGGTGTAGCTGTCTGTCCCCTGCAGACTGACTCATGCACTGCTGCCATTTGCTCTGGGCCACAAGTTGATTAAGTCGCATATGGAGAGGAGCTACCCCCCCGTCTTTCAAAGTGAATTAAGGATCGCAGAGCTTTGATGTACAGATTTACAGTTCTTTGTTTTCTATATTTAGCCCTGTGACTGTGTTTTTCCTCCTAGTCTTGCTCCTTTATTTCACACAGAACAGCCACGGCAACGCAATTACAGTATATCTGGCCTTACACCACCCCCCACAAGGGGACGGCTTCATGGTGACCGCTCACTGCCGAGCGATCCACCTGAGACACGGCTGCACAGTCCCCGCCAAGCTTGCTCTTAGCTAAATCCCTGACATCACAGCACATTAGCATCAAACACGTCACCGTGATGTCACCGGTTAATGACTCTTCACACCTGTCTTGTGACTGTTCACCACAAAAGTCACTGTGGCCTCTCACCAAAAGAAAGTCAGGCTACATAATTCCTAGCACTTCTTTCCACTGATACGGTCTATGAGGGCAACATGAGCCAGCCAGTGGCCATTTATCTTAATGTGAGCGGTTAACTCACACAAAAACACAACTATCCCCGTGAACCTCTTCCTATCCTCCTACTCGCTGACTTGATTTTTAGGAATACATTTCGCCCTCTCATTGAAACCTAAATTTCAATGAATTACTTCTAAAGGAGATTAAATTATAGGTAATTATTATGATAATATTTTCATTTATTCAAGATAACAGGCAGACTTTAGAGAACACAGAATTTGTCGGGAGAGAGCAATCTGCCTTACACAGTCAAAGTTATCAAGGCGTGAAATCAGGAATCCTGACGGCAACAAAATGTAATCTTTTTCACACAGAGGGGACAATAGAAGGAGATGCATACTCTAAGTCTTCTTCTCCACTTTAATTAAAACAGCTCACTGAATCTCTCCCTCTCTCACTCCCCACCCCCCTCTCTCTCTTAAGTGTAGAGGGCCAATTCTATCTCTACGCAGAATCTAGTTATTTTCCTCGCACTGAACTTGTCTTAAGCCCTGGCCCTGGATCTTTGTTGAGCAATTGCTTTTTCTTGCACATTTTTATTATTTTTCTCTCCCTCCTTCTTTTCCCTCCTTTATTGAAATGGAGGTGGCATTACCGAGAGATATATTGTGATTACGTTTGGCAGACTGCAAACAAAAACCCTGCATTGACAATGGGATGGTGGGGATGGGGACAGTGGGGTGAGGAAATAGGGTAAGAATAAGAACTTTTTTTGGGATGGACTTAAATGTCACAAAAAAATATGCCCTTTAAAAATATGTTCTATAGTGTCACCGCAATGATCCAGTGGGTGCTTACGCTTTACATTCATCTGAAATACAACTCTTTGTGTTCCCTCTGGCTTTAAATCATTTACAGTGTGCGATGATAAACACTGTATGATGTTTGTCATAAAGTCTGCATTTGTATACAACTCTCCAGTGAATCATATCAAAGGATTTATATGCAAGTGTTCTCTGGAAATGCTGCCTTGTGACTTTGCAGAAGAGCAATGTAGTAAAGGGTGATTGAAAGGACAACATTCACCGATGACTTCATGGGAGAGAGAATTAGCTGGCGAGAGACAAGTTGGCATTTAGAAACTGGAAAGAGGTAAGAAAGTGCGCGTTTGATTTTCGATACCAGTCCAGTTAATGAATGCTGCACTTCCACATTCCAAATGTCCTCATTATCTGCATACTGTACTTTTAGTTTTGCATATATGTTAAATACATCTTACAATATTCAGAGCTTTTTTTAAGGTGTCTTGCTGCCACAATGGCATTGAGGACGATTCACAGCCCCGGTTTCCTTCTCGTTTTTGCAGTCACTCCTACTCACCCCCTTGTACCTCTCCCCTCCCACCTCTCCTCCCCCCTGAGAGTCTTCTAGCCCGAGGGCAGGTAGGGCATCTCATTGTGATAGTTATAGTCCGGGCAGACTTTTTGGACCAGGCGGTAGTCCGTACTGTAGAAGGAAATGTAGATACAGATGACCTTGAAAGGCTTGGAGCAAATCCAGGACACGTGGCTCTGAATCTGCTCCTGAAAGCAGGTCTTGGACGGGTCGTAGTTGCACAGCGAGGTACGCTTGCTGCGATCCACCTTTTCATAGTCCACGCGGCAGTTGAAGATCTTTGAGTCCTTGGGGTAGACTACGCTCTGGCGCTCCAGGTCAAACTCCACCGCCTTGACAGGTGGCACCAGGCTGACTGAGATGTTGCCCTGGCCCGTGGAGTTGTGACGGAAGTAGACGCTGAACGTGCCGTTACCGTGGTCCACGATCTTGCCGGTGATTAGCAGGTTAAGCCTCACCGTCTTGATATTGGAATAGAAGTCTCCCCAGCCAAACATCTTCTTGAACTTCCCGGTCTTAACGATGGGCCGACGTTTGACCCTGGAGCTGGAGGAGTCGGGTTTGAGCAGGTCGCTCCCCAACATCTCCCAGAATTCCTGTTTAGAAAACTCCTGCTTGGAGAAAGGGATGGGGGTGCGGTAGGGCAGCTCCAGAGAGGTGGTGTTAGCAGCTCTGCTCTTACTCTGGAGCATCCAGCGGCTCAGGGGCGACAGGGGGGCCTGCCCACTCAGGAGGCCCACCGTCTTGGAGGAGTCGTCTGAAGAGCTCTTGGTGCTGGAAGAGTCGTCTTCCTGACCCAGGGCCACCTAGAGAGAGGAGGTGGGGGTGGGGGGTGGAAGAAGAAAATAGAGAAAGAAAGTACACAGTTATCAGCAAGGTAGAAAGAAAAGTGTACAGAAAACAAATTAAAGGCTTAATCGATACTTAATTTACCGCTCATACCTCTAGTGGTAGTCGCCATGACATTCTATCAATGTTATATATATAAATAAAAGCTTGAAATTTCGCAGGTATTGCTATTATTACATTCTTTTGTTTACCCTGGCCGTGAGAGAAAATTCTCCTATATGTCTAGTTTTCGCAGAGCCGATGTAATTCCCTAAGCTCTCCAGTAATGGGCTCATATGCCTCTTTCGAGCTACTTGAGGCCAGAGGGATCAGAGAACAGATTTAAAGAGAAAATCCACACTAAAACTGAATTCACATCAAGTGTGTTACTCCTGTGGTCTCGGGCAGTTAAATCAATATTTGTGAAGGTGGACAATTTTCTACAAAGTCTATAATCCTGTAAAACAATAAAGCTCTGTCATTAAGAAACACTTTCAAGAGTTATTTCTCTGACAGCAAAGGTCTTGAGGTTGATTTATGCACTTAGAAAGTGTCTGGATGCACCACAACGAGCAGCATTCATTTGAAAAACTACCTTTTGCATCCTCTAAGGTGCTATCATCATGTTTTAGCTAGGGCTGTGCAATTAATCGTATTTTAATCGCAATTACGATTTTGGCCTGCCACAATTACGAAAACAACATAATCGAAAAAAACGATTATTTTGCTTTGCTAGGTTGTGACAGTGCACTGCAACATATTTGATCTAATTAGGGTCTGAGACCTAGGTCGGCGAAGACCCTATTGAAATCGGTCGCGCCCACTTCCGTTTTTAACGTAAACTCCCCCCACTTTAACTTTCACGTAAACTAACGAAACTCGCTACGCATATCTAGGGTGCGGAGACAAACCAAAAAGCCTCTTGGAGGGGTATACGTACAAGAAGCCGGCCATTTTGAATTTGGCGTCGGAAAAACGCGATTTATCGCGTTTTTCGTCCTCTGCACGAAATCTATCTTCTCCCAGGGACTTTATCCGTACGACTCGAAATTCGTCGGGTAGCGTCTCGAGACATGGGCAATTCAAAGTTATCACGGAATTTTTTTTCTTTCGCACGGCATAGCCGTGATTTGGCGCCAAGGTTCGCGTTTGCTCGATGCTAGGCGATCCCTCGCCATTGAACACGATGATGTCATAACGCCAACTGACATACTCAGAACGCCACCAAACTTCACGTGATGGTTAACACTGCGGCCCTGAACAGCTCTACGTCAAATGTGATGTTACTTAATATGGCGTTACCATCCCTCGCCATAAAACACGTTGTCGCTGTAACTCCAATGGACACGGTCCCATCGTCACCCAATCTTCACTTTTATATCACCGGTCCATGCCTCAACAGCTCTACGTGAAATCTGAGATCTCACCGTATGCCGTTTCCATGGCAACGCATCCCTCGCCGTAAAACACAATGTTGTCTTAACTCAATGTAAAATGGTCCAAACTGCACCAGACTTCAGATGATGGCTAATGGTCCGGCCCTCAACACCTCAATATGACAACAGTGAGTTTTCCTCAAAAGCTGTTGCCATGGCAATGCATCCCTCGCCATTAAGCACGATATTGCTATAACTCCTGTGTAAATGGTGAAAAACTGTTCAAATTTCACATGTGTGCTAACCGTCAAGCCCTCGAGACATATATGTGTCAGTTTTGAGATTTCGTCAAATTTCGTTGCTAAGGTAACAAAATGGTCGCCGTGAAACACAGTTTTCTCATAACTCCAGTTAACATGCTCCAAACGGCCCAAAACTTCACAGGTTTGATAACGATGCAGCCCTCAACACATCTAGGCGTATTATGGGGTGTCATCAAATTCTGTTGCCATGGCGACAGATCACTCGCCATCAAACACAATGTTTATGATACTGCTGTAACTCCTAAATACATTGTCCGATCGGCCTGAAACTTCCCACGTTTGCCAACGTCCGAGTCCTCGAGACACCTACACACACACCTCGACTGCACAGCCTGCGGAGCGTCGAAGACCCGCTCAACGCTGCTTGCAGTTTTAATTAATTTTAGTCTCATTTATTTGTATTTATCATATTTATATATGTTTAGTAGCTTGTTGAAGTGCGCTCCAAAATATTTGTTGATCTTGTTTATTGGTATTTATTATTTTGATATTATTTATTTAAATGTAAATATAAATGTATCATTTATTTTATTTATTTTTGTATTGGTTTTTCAGTTGAATTATACGTTCAGGGTAATCAACAGTTAAAAAGATACTGTTCAAATTATTATTTGTATTTGTTTTAAAGTTCAATAAATGGATGTTTTCAAAGTCAATGAATAATCGTATTTAATCATCGTGATATCAATTATTGACCAAAATAATCGTGATTATGATTTTTGCCATAATCGCACAGCCCTAGTTTTAGCTCATTTTAACTCAAACTAATTCAGATAAGGTCACTTGAAGAAAATCTAATTGGAAAGAAATTCAAAGTTCTTACACACCGAAACTCCAAGAGAACACTAGGCTGTGCTTCCTGTTTTAAAGTGAGCTTTTTGCTTCTTGAGCACATGTGTGAGTCTGAGAACAGGGGGAACTATTATTGCCTCGAAAGATTTGGTTGGAGGATCAAAGAGTTTGAGGAAAGAGAGCTGGGCAAGCGGGTGGGGCCCAAGAATAAAGTGTTATGTCCAATTAAGACCTCCAGTGTTTTAATTAAAGAAAGAAATCTACATCGGCACACACACAAAGCTGTCAGATGTTAACATCAACTGAGGGGAGGAGAAGAAGAGTGAGGGAGATAAGAAAGTGCTGCTGTGCTCAGCAGTAGCTTTGTGTGAATGTGAGAGCAAAGTATTGGGTAATTATTTAACGGTAATGATCTATTAACAGGTAGCTTCTATCTGATGTGTCATTCAAGTCACCAGCATTATTTTTGTCCTTTGGCAGTGGAGAGCTCACCCACACGTCGCTTGTGAATTTGGTGTTGAAAACAGGAACAATAAGTGATGTAAATGCAGGATAAGTTTGTGAATGTGTGCTCTACCCGGAGAGATTTTACAACGATGCATAATGCATGCATGCCTGTCTGTTCTCTGATCCATCTACTGTCTTGACTGCCAGGGCTTCCTTATACAGGCTTAGTCAGGATTATTAAGTCAGACTCATTTTTATTCCATTTTATGCAGGTTTTTTGAGCTCGCCCAGATTTGTTCTGAGTCAGTCAGAGATATTGATTTTCCGTCCCTCTTAAAACATGTATTTCCTTTCATAACAACGCGTATCGCATTTCAACTGCCTTGCGAGGATTCCCGCTGATGTGGTTGTGGTCTGGTGTTGGGACTCAGATGAGAGGACTCCCCTCTTCCTCTTATCTGGCCCGATTACCACTTGGGTGTTAGAGGCCAGACGTCCTCTGCTCCAGTTACCTGTCTGCTGCTACGCTACACTGCCGCTCACATCATTCAGCCTCTCCACGGGGGGCGATAACTGTCTTGACAAGGACTCCTTCCTCTTGAATCCGATAGTTCTGATAGCTTCTTCCAGAATCCCAAACACATTAATAATGAACAACAATGTTGAGGTGCTGAAGACATATTGATTTTAATCTTTTCAGACGTGTCTTTGTTTTTTCAGAGGGGCAGTTAAGGGCAGGCAGGAAAACTTTGATGACAAATACATCATTCCCCACGGCTCCTATTGAAGGACGCGCGGGTGTTTGATTTCTGTTCTTCAATGAGCTGGTGGCTGCTGAGCACAGAGGGTAACACTCGCCTGCCTCCCCAGATAGCGCTTAAGATCTCCTGCGGTGTCTTCGAAAATGGCCCTTTAGGGTTCTTGAAAAATATGTTGCTCTTGATTTCTATAAAACTGCCCCTTGCTTTTAAGATCCAGATCATTTCGGCAACACTGCTGCTTGTCTAGAGCGACTCTCAGATGGCGCCAACACTCCTATCTGAGCAAAAACATATTGCAGCATGCTTTGCTGTACAGTAACCTTTCAATTGAGCAAGGCATCCCTCCCTCTCTCTTGCACAGTCTTCATTAAAAAGCCTTAGAGGACAGGCTGCAGGAGGAGAGATGAAGAGAGCATTGTGCTATTGTTGAACAGTAGACTTAAGTGTCTGGCACTGCTAGAGGTGTCCGATTCAGTGTGCAGCATCATTGTCAAAGACAAATGTTAAAATGAGCTCTAAAAAAGAAAAGAAAGCACCGAGCAAGAGCTGCAATTACTACTCCAGTGTGAGAACACATGCCGTGTAACTGTCCACACCACCATGTCTTCAAATGCAATTGTGGCTTAATTTCTTAATCTAAATGTTCTATACTGTAGCATCGTTTTTTTACATATAGTCTTTGCATGTTTTCAAACTCTAGGAGATTTGCTGAACAATGCGTCTTTACAGTACGGTTGCAGAGGTCACGCGTTATACTGCAGCACAGAACATATTTCTCATCATTAAATATTATAACAATCACTATTTTACACTCCATTCTGAAAAACTGCCTACTACTCCAATTCTCTTGCCGCTCTGCATTTAACTAGCAGAGTATATGAGGTGTAAGATTTAACTATCAGCACGCATCCAACTTTGCCTTATGCAGTGTAAGCAAGTTGAAATGTTGGAGGAACACCCCTGAGTTCCCTGTTGTTTTCGCAGTGCTTAAAGATGAATGCATTACTCCACTTTAGTGGAATATTCATACTTTTTAGCAAGCGTAAGGCAACATTGTTTGGTTAACAGTGAAGCACTTTTTTCCAAGAAGTCACCCTTTGATGATGCACCCCAAGTAATATCTACTTCTTTCAATGACTTGTGTTGTAACATTAAAGAAGTTTGTCAAGTGACAAGATGAATATTTTCAGGGCTGCAGCTTTTAATGTCAAAGGTTTACTGTTTATAGCTCAGAAAACTGCACCATCTACAATGTGAACCACATTCAAATGCTGTTTGA